GGTTCTGCTCGTAGTCATGGGTTTGTCTGTCTTGTCTCTTGTGGTTCTGCTCATCTTCATGGGTTTGTCTGTCCCTTGTTGGATGGCTTTGTTCCTCTTCATGGGTTTGTCTGTTCTGTGCCTCACATGGACTCTCCTGAACTTCATGGCTGTGTCTACCCCAGCTTCGACGACTCTGCTCTTCCTCTTCCTGGTATCTCTGCCCTCCGCCTTGGCTCTGCCTTGTCTGGGCCTGTCTGTGACCTTGCTCACTACTGCTTGATTGCCAGTCTCTCCCTTTGTGGCAGAGCTGGATTTGTGCTAGGAGTTTGTGTTGGTGGTTTTGGCTGTCCTCTTCAGGCTCCCGTACCTGGTGGTAGTTCTGCTGCTCTTCCCTAGACTGAGATCCCCATCCCTGGTTTCGATTCACTTCCTGTCCTGGAATCTGTTGATTTAGTCTCCATGACCTTCCTGATTGTTCAACATATGAGTCTTTTCTTGTTCCTTCAGTCCCTTGAAAGTACCTGTTTTGCCCTTGTGTTTCAGTTTCCCCAGTCTGTGACTGACCATAGCGATAACTCTGGTCTTGTCTGTCTATCTGACCATATTGAGAGCTCATACCTTGTCTGTCTGTCTGACCATGGTGATAACTCTGGTCTTGTCTGCCTGTCTGGCCATATTGAGAGCTGAGGTCTTGTCTATTTGTCTGACTACACTGAGAACCTAGGCCTTGTCTGTCTGTCTCACCATAATGATAACGCTGGCTCTGTCTGTCTGTCTGACTGTAGTGATAACTCTGGTCTTGTCTGTCTGTGTGACCATAGTGAGAATCCAATCCCTGACTGTCTGCCTGACCATAGCCTGATTCCTGACCCATCTTCCCAGACTGTCTATAATAAAAGCCTGACTCCTGTTGGTTTGTCTGGCTAGAGCGAGAGTCTTGTCTGAGTCTTCCAGATTGGCCACAGCTTGATCGTTGTTCAAGCCTTTCAGACTGACCATAATGAGAATCCTGAACTGGTTTCTCATACTGATTTAAAGCAAAGATATATCCTTGCTTTTCAGGCTGGCCACTGTTTGATTTATGACTCAGTCTTTGACCAGAGCTAGACTGTTGACCCTGTCTCTCAGATTGACCATGGTGGGAATCCTTTTCTTGTCTTTCAGACTGACCATAGCAGGAATCCTGACCCTGTCTTTCAGACTGACCATAGCAGGAATCCTGACCCTGTCTTTCAGACTGACCATAGCGGGAGTCCTGACCATGTCTCTCAGACTGACCATAGCGGGAGTCCTGACCGTGTCTCTCAGACTGACCATAGCGGGAGTCCTGACCCTGTCTCTCGGACTGACCATAGCGAGAGTCTCTATCTTGTCTCTCAGACTGATCATAGCGGAAATCCTGAT